TCACTTGACTATTAATCACAGAATTCATTAGATCAACGGTAGTTCTGTTCTTTCCGTAGTCCACCCACAGTTTTGGAAGCTCTAAGCAGCTTCCCATTGTTGAATAAAATCATTGTTATATTTCTACTTAGTTCTAAAGACCTGTAGCTTTTTCACTGCTTGGTGTAAGAGCTGTGAGGAAGAGAGAAGAGGAGGTAGTAGAACAGACTCTAAAATCGTCTCTCCTCTCTCCAGCATGGGCTGTCAAAAGGGGGGTGACAGGCTGGTCTCACCCCGCAGATCTGCTCGGCTGTGTTTAGTGTCGCGTGTAGGTGTCGAGATGCTTGGTGCATGGAGTGCGTTCTTGTGAATGTTCCAGCAGCAGATTTCAGTTCTTCAGTGTGTGATGTTGAAGTGATGCCATAGAGATCATCACATAAGCCTCTATTTCAGGGGTCTCCAACCTTTTTTCCTCTCAGAACTACCTTTAATTCAAAATAAAACTGGTGGAGAGCTACTCATGTTGTGTAACATTTATTTTCATAGCTCAATTTCAACAAACAAATTCAATATATACAATATATTACTGTCCACATATCACATTTTGTATTAAATCATCACCAAAATATAATAATAATATTAATATAATTAATTATAGTAATCGTTATAATAATAATTTTATTATTATTTCTGTTGTTGTTATTAATATTATTTTATTATTATTGCTGTTGTTTGGCAGCGAGGTAGTCCACAAAAAACATCCACATATTCAGAGCCCAGTATTGTTCCTCCATTTTGACCAAATAAGCCGTTCTTAATTTATTATGTTCTTATGTTTTATTTTCTGCATAATGTCGCCGTCTTCTGGCGACATTGCAGAAACGCGCAGAGCCGACTGCACTCTACAAGTGTTTGACAATCGTCATGACAGATAAAAACGCAGCATTCAAGCTGGATGGTAGCGAACTTAGCTGTTTTAGCTACGCGGATATTAAACAGTAGCGATATTAATAAATGTTCAGATATAAACTTATTTTGAATCAATACATCATTATTTTAACGTTGTATTTCGTTTTTCTTCTATCGAAAGATATCTATTTCGTTCATGTTCCACAAGGGTAGGTTAGCGGAGTGACAAGTTCCGGCCAGAGGTTTGTCTGCACATCATGGCCCTCTGCTGACGAAAGAGAGCAACTGCAATTAATGTGCAATTTAAATTTTCAACAACAGATGATGTGCCATTGCGCATCGACGATTGGTTGTTGTGCGCGATTTAAATTTTCAAACAGAATATGATGTGCCATTGCGCATCGATGATTGGTTGTTGTGTGCGATTTAAATTTTAAACAGATTATGATGTGCCATTGCGCATCGACGATTGGTTGTTGATGACAAATATGGCCATACGTAACAGACGTGATTAGACACTCGATCGTGTCAGGGCCTTCTACCACGTCCGCTTATGTTGATGTTTTCTGCATGGTATGCCCTCTGCCGTCTGGAAAGTGCAATTGCACTCATCAACATCCAATTGTTGTTGAGCAGTAGCAAACCTTTGGCCGGAACTTGTTGTTGGCGGAGCTAAAACCAAACAACCGACCGCATTTCTTAATAAAATGTGTCACTCCGCTACCCTACCCTTGTGGAACAGGAATGAAATAATAATACTGACTTAAAACAGGTAACGTCTCAACCATTAATTACTTTGCTGCCGTTTAAAAGGTGTAGCTATAGCAGCTATGTTCGCTACATGCTACAACTCAAATGCTGCGTTTATATCTGTCACGACGATTGTCAAACACTTGTACAGTGCAGTCGGTTGTGCTTTTTTTTTTGACCTATGACGTCGAAATTCTTCAGAAAATGAAATGAAAAAAATTAGGTCAACCTAAAAATGCACAAGAGACAACACTTAAACCCGCGATTCTTCCAGTACATTAAGTCACTAATTAATTGTCAAAATTATAACATTAGTTAAATATTACACTTTTAATTAATTTGTGATACTTTCAAATTAAAAACAAATCATATTATGATCTGTTGGCTGTGTAAAGATAGTATAAAGATAATGTTATGTTAATATAATTATTCATATGGAGCAAACTAACAGTAACATAGATCTGCACTCCATTTTATTTATCAGGGGAGGAGACTTTTAAATTTTTTTTTATTATTATTATTTTTTTCATTTTCCATCCTTTTCCTCTTTGAGGCTTCTGCTTTTGTTTTTTGACCCTGTTGCTGATGACTGAAGGCTGAGGAACCTTCATACTAATCGGCTTCAGATCTTGGCCACAGGTCAGAGTAACAGATGAAACCAGATTAGAGTCTCACAGGGCAGGAAGAGAGGATTACCAGCCCTGGCTGCTTCAGCTTCAGTCAAACCACTGGTTAGATCTACAGGCTGAAGTCAAGGGTCTGAACACTACAGTTTGGATGTGTGTTTTCTGCAAGTGTTGACACTGGTGCAGTATTTAGAAAATACACAGCGAATGTTTATATATATATATATATATATATATAATAAATTATTTTTTGTCATCAGACCACAGATCCAGACTTCTTATTTAATCTTCCACCTCAGGTGTCAACAAAACAACCCGATGTGCCTCTTTGGACATCCTAGAGTTCAGGATACGTCTAGAGTTTCCTGTTTTCCTGTCATAGCAGAGACATTCTTTCATACGGCAACAGGGATAAAAGCCCTGGTGGCTTAGTGCTTTGTTTGTCTTACATCCCAGGTTTGACTTTCTTCACATTTTTGTACAAAGTCTGTGGGTAAAACTGAGGTCACTCTATCACGTCCTTGCATCAAGAATGTTTTACATTTTTTATCTGTGAAGCCTTGAGCAAAGAATTCTTGTCCGTGTACTTGTTAACATTCAACAGTCAATCACTCACTGCAGCAATCTCCTGTTTATCTCTGCTCCATCCTCGTATCTCTCTCCTCACACTCAGTCTTTCTGCGCCTCCTGTCAGAAATAAAACATTTGCGCAGCAGTGCGCTGCTGCTTTGATCTCCAGATAAATTAAACATGCCTTTTCTTTTCTTTTTCTTTTTTTGATAGCGAGCTCCGTTCAAACCTACTAAGTCAAACTTCTCTTCACACACACTCTGTCCCCGGTTTGAACTCTCCGACGTTGATTCATGTGGAGGCAGAATGCTGTGTTATCAGAATACGCAAAAGGCGGGAATTTCTACGAGGCACTTCTGCCCCGGTTTCGCTGTTTGCCACTTTCTCAGCATCTCACGTAACACAGGCATGCAAGAAAAGTGTGAACTGAAAATGGGAAACGAGCAAAGGTCAAAGCTGAGGCAGAGCGGAGCTAATCTGGGTTAGGGTCGGCTCGGTGCTTGACCTCTGGCTTTAGGGTACAGCGTGTTTTTAGCTGAAGTAGTTTTCACGGAACACAGGCCATTGGCTAAGAATGAACTAAAATTCTCACCGCTGCAATTAAATGATTTGAATATTCAGCCAGTGATTTAGTTGCGTAATGTTTTGTTTGTTACTGTTTTTTTTTCTGCTTCTACTAAAAAACCTGGTTTGACTTCCTTTTTTTTCAATGTTAATCATTTGTTTTATCTGCTCTCCTTCTTCCAGATTCCTCCTCTAACTACATCAGGCAACTGGAGACAAAAGTCCGCATCCTGGAGGATGATAACAACAAGCTTCTCTCACAGGTGAGGTTGCCATGTTCAGAACCACCGATGTACTTTTGGAGGTCACTCTGTTTTTCCATGTTTAATTAATTAGGAGTCAGTACGTTTCCTCTGCAAAGTCAAAACGTTAAGCCCCTGATGTGAACTGAGGGAGCAGAGCAGAGGAGAGGCCACTGTAGTCGGCCAAAAGGAGCGGAAAAAGCAGCGTGAAGTGACAGGAGAGTGCCTCCCTCCTCCCCCTCACCCCCACTCGCCCCACCAAGGTTGACCTTACGTTGACGTCTCTTAAATTTGGAGGTTGAAGTGCCGATTTAAATTGGAGTGGAGAGCGTGAGACGAGCGAGGGTGAATTTTTGGGTCAGGTTCACCTGGGGTTCACATGTCAGTCCTCAGAGGTTCCGCAAAAAACTCGAGCGGAAACGTCCATTTGTCTGGTGTCAGGCAGCCGAGATCTCAGTGGGATTTCCACAGTTCAGCTGCCATTTACTTGGATTTCCGTCTCCTCAGTTATCCCCCATCACGTTCACATCCAGACCAAGAGTATGGTATTTTTGAACTGATGTATATCTGTTTTATGTTTATTCCTGCCTTTGTTTTTTTTCAATATTTAACTTTGCATACACAAACACAACTTTTATTTTGAATGTTTTGTTTTTTTAATTTCCAATGTTTTTCCCCTTCTGTTTAGGCCCATAACCGATATAGCTTATCACAGATACAGACCAGAAAGGTAACTTCCTGAAATGCCTCTGTTTGCCGGCTTGACTTTGGTCAACCAGTTGACCTTTGACCTTTCCCCCTCTTTTATCTGTTTGGTGGTGGGGCTTCAAACATCTTTCAGCTGGGTGCTTTGGGTGTGTCCAGAGGTTAAAGACAATAAAGTCGATGTCTGTTTTTTTTTTTTTTTTGGTACCCTGTGACCAAAACCTAATGTCTGGTTGCTTAAATCTGCTGACAAAACAAATTGAATCAACTCTAATGAGACGTTGATGATCTGATCAGTCACTGATTCTCTATCAGTGACTCCATCCCAGACAGACGTAGACGTAAACAAACACACTAAGACAAACATGCACACTGACGACACGAGTGAAACCAGATCCAGATCTGGTCTCACTCGGTCACAGCAGATGCGTCACATTGCCAGTTGTGGTCAGTCATAGTTATAGTATTTGATCAGTTCACCCAGCATGTACTGTGTATTAATAACAGCTGTAAGTTCCTGGTTGGCGTTTTATAAATGCTCTGCTGTCCTGCTGTAATATGAAGTGATCTCCACACGGGACTCAGATGGTTTCCATCCTTGTTCTTACTGCACTGGTGACTGAGTGCTTTAATGTGTTTGGGTGCGTAAATCACATCTGTTTGTTCGGCCTTGTTTTGGGGATGCTGTGTGGGCCAAGTCATTCGAGATTTAAGGACTTGTGGGTAATGACTGATGTGATGTGAAATGTTACTTACACACAATTACAGTCTACAGATGACCAGAGTTGCTTAATGTTTATGTTTTTCAGTTGCTTTAATAGTGTGGACCACACCCCTCTATTCCTTACAATTTTGGAATCCAGATGGGATGGTCTGGTGGGCCGCAGCCGGCCCGTGGGCCACCAGTTGATGAACACTGGTTAAGGCTCTCGCCTCAGTGTGTTGCCTGCACTGTACAGACAAATAATATTGTTGTAACCGAATATCTATCACAATAATTAATATTGTTGAGGACATGTGCTATCTCTTTCTTGAGTTAGCCTCATACAGTCGTTGATTTGAGCAGAGGACCTCCCTCCTGTATGTACCTTGTATCTGAATGCTCTCAGGTAGGGTTCCAACCGCAGATTAGTTGCCCCAGCAGACACGTTACCTAACTTCCTGTGTTATGAAACTGCTCCAGTGAAACTGACGTTAAGCCTTGAGGAAACAATAGCCTTTTATCGCAGGAATGTCGACACTTTGAACAAACTTATCTGAGAGGAGTTTTACTGTAGTGTGCTAACAGGGGTAGGAGGTACCGACGAGTACGGTCTCACGGGAGATGTGAAGAAACTCATGTAAACACAATAAGAAATGCTCTGTGTGTGTGTGTGTGTGTGTGTGTGTGTGTGTGTACACACCTCACATAGGCGTGCAGGATGTTCTCTTGAACTTTACCCCCAGTGAGATGTCCTGTAACCATTAATTATGTGTTTAACCCGCTGGACTGTGAGACTTTCTCATAGGTTTAGCGTGAACAGTGTGCTCTCTGTGCGGCTGAAAATGAAATCATATACGTGCTAGAGTCGGATGACACCTCATTGGCCGAGCGCTAGATAATTGATGCCATTTTGTGACTTTGCTCTAATGTAGGGTTCACTGGACTGAATAATGACAGAGCCTGATAAACTAGTGTTGCGTTCAGTGACTAAATTACAACATCAGTGATTCAAATATGGTGCATGGTTGAGCCAATGAAACATGAGTGTCGGACACTGCCATTTAATACAATGGCTCTTTAATGTGGAGGAAGAAGACACAATTTTAGGTTAGGTTTGGAACGTGTAGTGTTTCACAGACTCTGCATCTTTTTTTTTTTTCAAAGTGACATCGCTGTTGCCCCCCATAAGTCATGTTGGAAATGATGCATGCCATCCACAGCTCCTTCCTGTCACAGCACAGAGCTTTGTGATGAATGGGCAGACGGCGGGTCCTCAGTTTTACCCTACAAGTCTGCCGAGTGCCAAGTTTTCCCAGGTGTCCAGCAAACAAATCGCTTTGTCAGTCTAAGGTCAAGGTCAACGCAGGATAGGATGCTGAACTCAGCGCAACCACGGATTCCTATTTTTGGGGAATATAAAGTAGCTGAAATCTTTATATGTAAAAAAGATAACTATCTGCACAAAGTGTATGATTTAGGAACAATGTTAGGAACCATCAGGGCGTGGCATTAGGATTCTTAACTAAACCCAGAACTGAGTCTGTGCAAAATGTATGGAGCGTGTAACAGAACGTGTAGCAGACGACACCGCGCGGTGGCCACACATTCATAGACGCGCAGCCACCGCTTGGCGTGTTATTTCTATCCCTAGTGCTCCCAGGCATCATGTGTGTTTACACACCGTCCCCGGCGCAAAGGGAACATTAGCGCGTGACATGATAAATGTCACGAGCCTACAGAGAGAGTGAGACGCTGGGCTGGTCATCGCCTTCAGGACCCAGTGGTCTTTTGCTGCTAATGAGGACAAATTACTAGAATGTCCAAAGCACTGTGTAATGTAGCCCCAGCACTTTCAAGACCTTTTCCAGAGAAAGCTACAACCTATAAAAGAATCATTGCTATCACGATGCTTGAAGCGATGATGTCAAAAAAAACAATGAAAAGGCTAGTGTTTTTTTTGTTATGAGATTCCAGAGGCTTCTTATTTTTTCCAGAATTAGAACTTAATATATCTGTAGTCAGCACATAAAAGCTCAACTTTTTAAGTCTTCACCCGTGCTTCGTGGCGAACAGGAATGTTAACGGAGCGTTTCTGAACTTGTACATTTTTCACACCTCTTTCAAAGATGGCAGAGGAAAAGAATGGGGTGTGATCCTTTTGAAGACTTGCCTGTACTTTATAAAAATACTCCACATGGCTGCGGTCTGTTTTGCACCCAAAGGCAACAAGACAAGTGTTGTTTTTGCGTGTGTGTGTGTGTGTGTGTTTAAAGAGTCTTCCTCAGAGCCTCCACAAATCTTTTGAAAGATTTTGGCCTTTCAAGCAGTGGTGAATTTCCCACAATGCTGTGGTTTATCAGCATGGTTGGGAACGGCATCAGTAAGTATAGAAGTGACGGACATAGATATAAAATGCAAATATCCTCATAATGTGTTCTGTGATTCTGTGTTCAGATAAATACTTGTGATTAATCTCCTGTCTTTGTATTTTTCTGTCCACTTCAATGTGCAGCAGTGTAACCCCGGCGACCTCCGTGCCCTGAGGAAAGGAATGACCCTCTACCACTCAGAGTCCCAGCTGTCCTCGCTGCCCCAACGCCAGGACACGATGCAAAGGGTGAGCAAATGCGAACGCATGCATATTAATAGAGTCCCGTCCTCTGGACGAAAAGTGAATTGCACCGCTTTATCTCTGACGCACAGAAACCAACGCGCGCTCGCCTCCCCGTGACGTCAGGAGAGGCAGAGATTGTCCGCGTGTCTCCGCTCTACACAAATGTGGTTATGTATAGAGACGGGGGTTTAATTGCGCACAGACTTTCACAGACTTAATTGCAGGGAGGACTGCACCGCTGCCTACGCTGAAATCGAGTCAAGTCAGCTTTAATTCACTTTACTGCTAACATTCCAATTATGCTCCCATCTGCAACTTTGCTCTCGCTTACATGACAGGATGGTGAACCGTGCTCACACAGGAAGAAAGAAAGAGCGGGGGGGGGATTAAAAAAAAGTGAGAGGCAAGAAAGGAAAATTAATAGGAGTGCAGCCCTCAACTACAGCCTGAGCACGCCCTCTGGAGTCTCTTCTAACTGAATAAGACCATAAAAGTAATGAGTCTACACAATCCAGAGCCGACCTTTGACCCTGCATGTGTCAGTAGATAATTTTCTCACTGCTTAAGGAAGGTCAGAGTCAGGCTATGTCACCGCACAGAGGACTAAATCTCCTCTGTCTGAAAAAAAACAAAGAAAATCAATATTACGCTTTTTAATTACACGCCCGGCGCGAGGCACCAGCAGACCAGCACCTTTTTAAGCTCGAGGGTCACACCACTGTCCCTGTGGAGGTCTGTGCTGCTCGATAATGTCCGTGAACCTTGATCCACTGACAGATCCCTCCCTCACAGGAGGAAGGATAAACCGCAAATTATCCTGACGGTCGCGTCCCTGCGTTTAATTTCTCACCACGGTGGCACATGAAAGAAGGTCACGATATTGAAGTGTGAATTTCGGGTCCTTGCAGGAATGATGCACGGCGTCATTTGCCGGTTGCGTCTAATCCGGGTTATGCTAAACCCAAAATCCACTTATAATGTATTTCCCATGTCCTTGGAAAAAAAGATTGTGCAGATGTAAGCATAAATATAATCCAAATGCTCACAGATTACGTTGCCGTGCCACATATAGATATTTATATCTATATGTAAGTGGGTTTTATACTGTGTGTCCTTAAAGTCCTTCAGCAGGGATGGAGCTTATCTATATTTCAATATGTAATATACACTAAAAAAGTATATATGAAGCTCTGAATGTTGCTTTGGAATTAAAAATAAATACACTTAAGGATATATAACTTGAGTTTTTCCTCAAGTGTATTTTTATATTTGGTTCTTTTGGTCTTCAGGCAGGGTTTCTGTATAATATTGTCTGACAGAAAACAAGTGACTAAGATGAAAAAAGAGAGAGGGGAAAAAAAAAGAATCTGAATCTGCACTCCAGAATAAAACAATTGATTCTGACAGCGTTCACTTTCCCTCCCACTCAAAACTGCAGGGCCTAAATCTGGCCTGTTTATGCAGGCGTGCCACAAGCATCTACACACCATACCAACAGTAAACAACGCTCCCAGCAGCCGTCTCTGCGCTGTCAGAGTCCTTTAGTGCCGAATGAACCGAGAAGTTCAGCACCGACGCTGAAGTCCTGACACTACTACATAGTTTCACAGAAGCGCACAGCAGAAGGAGCTGGGAGTGGTGGTATTTGAGTTCATGTGAACACGGGCTGCACAAGTGAGAAGCAAAAATGACCCATGAAAATAAACCTCAGGAGAGTTTGAGTCTATTTATGAAAAATATTCTTGGACTAAACATGAAATTAACTTATCTCACAACTGTTGACTTTCTTTTCCAAGATACAATCTGAGCAAAGATTTTAATAACAGTTCAGTAAAAATCAATCCGACCGCAGTCCTTATGTCCTGATGAGAAGCTCATGATGAAACTAATGTGTTAGGGGTGGTTTGCAGTGGGCTCATTATGATATTTTATCTCTTTGATATTAATTAGAATGGCCTGAATTTAGGGGACCACCATTACCATCAAATTGTATTTGGAGTGAGGGTGGGTGGGGGAGGAGGAAGGGGGGTTACCCAAGCTAACGGAGCCACAGAGCTGTGTATAATCAGGGTCCTGCCCTGATGCCAGGTTCAAATGAATGGTTCTATTGTGTGTCCCCGAGATCTGTGTCTGTCCCCAACAGTGAGCTTCTGTCTGGAACTAACCAGAGGGTGAGATGAGTCAAGCAAACAAGCCCACTCCCACCCCACCCCCACCCTCTTTCCACTTGTCCTTGTTCTTGTCTGGCCGACCAGAACCATCGCACACTCAAACCATGAAATATTCATCAATACATACGCTAGTTCTTAATTACTCACCAAGAGTAGTAGGAAGCTGTAAACGTACCTCTTTCAAAACATTCCAAATGACGCATGTGTCAATAATTGACTTTAATTGATCAGTGAACACAGTAAAGGTCTTTGTTAACATCTGGACTTCCAACTGTTTTTAACCTGAGCTAAACAAGATTTTTTTTTCTTCCTTTTTGCACTCTGTAGGGAACAGGTCGCCTCCCCACCAGTGAGTCCTCTCCTGCCACTGGATACCTGTCCTGTGTACAGAAGCCTGAGGCTGTGGTTCATGCCATGAAGGTATTAGTGTTAATAAAATAGGAATTTAGAAAACAAAAAAAAAACTTTTTAGGGGGCTTTTGTTGATACTGTTTAGATAGGTGTATATATATATAGAGGCCAGGCACTGGTCCAGGTCTTGTGGTTTTAATTAACTGTATATCCTTACAACTGATGACACATACTGCACTGTGCCTCCCTACAGGTGCTGGAGGTGCATGAGAACTTGGACAAGCAGGTTCCTGAGGAGTACGAGGATGACCTGAGTGAGAAAGAGAAAGCCATTGTGCGAGAGATGTGCAACGTAAGGGCCACACCTGTGTTCTACTTTTTGGCTTTTTTTTTACGGCTTCTGCCCTGCTGCTGTAAACAAAGGAACCTTATATCCATACTGAGCCTGTTTGTTCCATCTGTTGGTGTGTCTCCACATCAGTGTTTCCCAGCTTTGTTTTCAACCCAGGGTTTATTTAAAAAAATCCCTCAGACACACTATGAAACAAAAATGCACCTTAAAGTTTATGCAGTGAAATATAATGATTTTCTAGTTTCCATTTACTCACAAGTTACTTACTCAACTTTACTTGCCGTGAAACATGGGCCAGTTTAGTTGATTAGCAGACATATGGACAGGAATTGAAGAAAAGAGTTTCTGCTGCCACCTTGTGGAAGAATATTTATTCTGCATGTGTCTGTCATATGCCTGAAGACATGTTCTGCAGTAAATAAACATTAGCTCACCAACCAATACTGTGAATATATATATAACACACTTTGTGCCGTGTATAGATTTTTAATTAGCTATTTCCATCCAACTTCACTCATTTCTGGCCTAACTTCAAAGATTACATTTAACTGAAAGCCCTTTGTAGATGCATGAAGATGCATAATATTTTGTTGTGTGCAATTAGAATGTAGCTTTAAGGGGAAAGGGCACCCCCTCTCCCCCTGTGACCCAGCTTCACCCGCTCCAATCTTCTTCTCCTTTCACACTTCCCTTCATCTCTATCTTTCCCTGTCGCTGCTGAAAGGCCTGGTCTGGGATAAAAAGCTGTGCTGATTAGTGAGAAAAAGGACCCCAGTTGTATGGGCCCAGCAGAGGTATGTGACAGACCAGGAATCTGGGGAGTTCTACAATAGTACCTCTGTATTATGACCGGGGTCCCCTGGCTCCCCGGGGGCCCCTCTCCAATGTTCACAGAGACATGTCATCGCTCCAGAGCAGAGATAAAGAATAGATGACCATGGAGCTTCACTGTGTTGTGTACGCGCCTTCGCAGCTTAACGTCAGAATGCGACCGTTTGAAGTTGTTACAGCGGAGGTTTTTTATTTATTTAATTTTTACGTCAACTTGCTTCTGTTTGCAGGTGGTGTGGAGAAAGCTGGGTGACGCAGCAGGATCAAAGATGTCCGTCAGACAGCACCTCTCTGGGAACCAGTTCAAAGGACCACTGTAGTAGCTCAGCAGCAGGCAAAACAGACAGAGAGACAGATGAGGATCTGTGGTACCTCTACACACCTCCTGTTCCTGCAGGTCCCACACTGCACAGAGCTTCCTACTGCCTTTAGTAGAGACGGGAGACAAGACTGGACATTCAATAATAGTCTCTCATCCACCTCTGCCACTCTCAGAGTTTATGTGCGGACAACTGGCAGCTAGCTTCACTAATTCACCACTGTTCTGCTCCACAACAACCAGAGCATCTCTCTCTCTCTCTCTCTCTCTCTTTCTCTCTCTCTCTAACACACACTCTGTTGCTACGTTACATGAACCTAGCACTTCAGCATGGTTGCAAGCACAGGGCAGATTTGGCTGCCATGTTGGAATGTTTGTGTCATTTGAAGGCAGCGTGGTATCTTTAAATAAGTTTGGATAGCACTCCTTTAGAGAATCACATGTAGGTCCTCCTTCTCCCACCTAGTGGTAAAAAAAACAACAATAACATTAGCAGTAGCATTTTTAGGTGTTAACGACCCACTGTGACCTAGCGCATTTTGCTCAGACGTTTATGGATAATGAAGTCTAGAGATCACTGTTAACTTGTGTATATTATGTACAAAACCTCCTCACTGCTCCATTGGTATTATTTTGGATTTCATCTTTCTTTTTTTTTTTTTTGCATTTTAGCATGGCCATGTGATCAATAATCTAGTTTACTAAGCACACACAACCAGACCTGAAACAGGTGTTTACTTTTGGTGATGAACTGAATACTTTCTTCTTTTTTTTAAACAGATTAATTGCTGTAATCTATTCATGTTTTTCCCCGTCTTTTTTTAAGCTCTGAAATGTTGCAAAGCCATTTTTGGAATCAAATCATCTCAGTGATTTATTGAACAGATGCTTTTCTAACAATAAGTGTATGCTGTGTGCATGCTTGACAATCATTTTCTCAGGTTGGGAGAGCTGCAGCTTTTCCCAGCTGTGACTGTGAGAATACAGTACAGTGAGTCTGTAAAAGAAAGGAAAGCAGGAAAGGGAGCAATCGGTTCTCCTGCAGCTGTAGCATCTGCCTGTGAATCCTGTCTTTGATTCTTTCGGAAACCCTGATTACAGCATGGTTGGAGGTTGCTAAAGACGTTTGCTGAATCCAGATTAAAACTCGATCCCCATTCATGATAATGAATTCATCACCAAACACCGAGCCTTGATTTCAGTGTGGACAGCTTTTGTCAGCAGCTGTCCACGGTCATCACTTTCTATTGACGTTTTACATGGATTCAGCAGGTGTGTTTCTGCAGCATATGTTTTATAAAAACATATATTGTTCTTTTTCTTAGATTACGAGCGATAAGTCTTCCCTACAATGTCTTCTGAGTACACTAACCTTTAAACTAAGTATTTCTTGATGTCAGAATGAACAAACATTACTTGTCAAAGTATTTATTGCCAAGTCTATGATGGAGATAGGAGCGCCATGGCTGTCTGCTGAGTCGTTCTGAATTTGTCAGATTTACCCTGTACAGTTATCTGATGACGAAATGACTGACAGCTCGGGTTCTCCCATCCATAGTCGTATTTGTTCCAAATAGAACATTTCCGAGGCTGCCAACAGTCCACCTCTGGAATGGGCTATAAAATAATTAAATCAAAGTGTGGTTTATAAAAGTGTCCTATTTTTCTAGGAACCTATTTGAAGCCATCTGACCATTTAGAACACTTTAGACATGACATTTGTTTTGACAATGGCAAAGTTGTCAAGCATGGTGATTTGCATATATATATATAAATATATATATATGTATATATACATATATGTTTATACATATATATTTATATATATATATATAGTAAGGTGAACACTAAAGTGAACAATAAAGAGAGCCCACATTAACATGAATAATTGAGTTGAAATAAACAAAATTCAGTCTTTTTGAGTTGTTATCTTTATTATATTTCGGCCTTTGTCTTGTCCACAGCTTTACAGATGTTTCAGTAAAATGAAATCAGTAAAATGAGTACAATGAATCGGTTTTTTTCCCACCCCACCCCCTAGGGGGGGAGAGCAACCTTTTTTTATTT